GGTTCGAAACTACCAGCCGCTCCGTGGGAGAAAGATGAGGGTTTCTACTCCCATAAAGATTTACACCCTCGGAAACCCTGTACAGGGTCGCTATGGGTCGGAACCGACTCGAAGGCACTTAACAACAACAACAACAACTTATTATATAAGGGGACTTCAAAAAGTTTGTGGAAAAATTCCATTATCTTTTAATTCCATTTTTCCAGGAACTTTTTTGACATCCCTTCTTACATGTGTATATGTTATTTATTTGGGTGTACTATTTACAGAAAAATTCGGTAATTTTGGCTCTGAATACTGTCACCAGATAGATATCTTAGGTTAGATACCTGATTTTCCTGATCTTCAGTTTTCTTGGATGTAATAAAAGAATTGTTTCTTAAAATAGTTATGAGGTGAAATTTAAATTAGATAATTATTTTGAATCAACTAGAACTTTTTACCTTATGATTTTTACCTCCGGATATCTGTATACACTTAAAATTATTAAAGGCCTCAAACTTTTGTTTTGTAGGCTGTATCTATCAGTATTTTTATATTTGAAATTAAAACTGGAAAAGCTTAAGTACTTATTTACAGTAAGTCTATTGCATGTTCATATAAGTAGTGTATATTATGAAAAATAACATTTAGTGAGATGATGAATGATATATTCTTTTATATTTTCCAGATCTCTTTAAAGCCAGAGTTAAGATAGCTAGATTCCCCTGTTCCTAAATTCTGTTTCTACACTCAGACTGTTGTAAAACATTTTGATGTATGAAGAAACTCTAGGCTCTTATAGATATATAATTGGAAAAGGAAGGCATATTTTTATAACCTTTTCAGGCAGTTTTCTCTATTTTTCCTTGCTACTGCCCAAGTACTCAACAACTGGTAGTTTCTTAATGATCGTGCATTTTGAAATCTGAAATCATGTCAGCTAATTTTTCATAGTGTTACATTTCATTCATTGGTCTGTCTTATGTAATGAATGGATCTTTTACCCATGCTTGATTTAAAAAAAGCTTTATTATGCATTAAGTGATGGTTTGCAGAACAGATTATCAGTTTTACATTGAACAATCCATACAGTTTGTTGCAACTCACTGATTTCAATCCCCTCAGTATACATCATTTATCTCACTTCCTCCCTGTGTTTCCATTCCTCCTTTCCTAACTCTGCTGAACTTTGACCTTAGGTAAATGCTAGCCTTTTGATCTCAAATGCTTGATTATCCTAAGGTATAGAGCATACATCCCTAGCGTTACTGTTCCCCTTACTGCCTATTCAGGTGTGGAATCTACCTGAAGAGTGACTAAGAGCCATAGTCTCTGGGGTTCCACCACTCTTTATGTGACCAATAAGCCTGGTCTTTTCTATAATTTGAGTTTTGGTCCACATTTTCTCCCACTCCATCTTTGTTGTTGTTAAGTGTCATTGAGTAGGTTCTGACTCATAAAAACCCTGTACAGAGTTTTAGCGGAGTGGCGGTAAGCTTGAACCGCTGACCTTGAAGTTCGAACCTACTTTGCAGTCCAGCGCATTAACCCATATCATCACACCAGGACTCCCCACTCTATCCAGGACCTTCTAATGTGATCCCTTTCAGAGCAGTTGATAGCCAGACACTATCTAGTTCTGGTCTCAGGGTTGTGAAAACTGATATCCTTCCATGTAGTCCATGAGTCCATTGGACTAATTGTTTCCATGTATCTTTGATTTTCAGTACTCTTCTTTCTTCTGAACAAGGAGAGACCAACAGTTGCATCTTAGATAGCTACTTAAGACATCACCAAAGTAGGATATGGAGCGTTGTCTTTGTGGATTATGTTATGCCTGTTGACTTTGGTGTCCCCTGAAAACTATGATCCTGAACCCCCAGGCCCAGTGACTCATTCCTTCAAAGTGCTTGCTTATGTCTAAGGTTTCATAACATTGCCCCTTGTATGTTTCACCACATTCAAGGGTATATTTGCAGCAAAGGTAAATTGTTGTTAAGTGCTGTCAAGTCGGTTCCAACCCATTGCAACCCTCTAGAGGGTTTCCAAGGAGTGACTGGTGAGCTTGAACCACCAACCTTGCAGTTTAAACTGACTTTGCAATCTAGTGCATTAACCCACAGCACCATACGCATGTATAAATATCATCTGTCAAACATATATATAGTGGGTATACTCCTACTGCAAGAGAAATCAACTTCTTAAAACTTAATCAATCAATAAATGGTAGCTGAATAGAGAAATAATATTTTGAATGTCATTCCTTTAACCCATTTTTAATTCAGTTGATTTAATATTTTTGTAAGGTAGGTAAAAAAAATACCTTTGTTGTATAAGTAAGAAAACTGAGATTATGAGGGGTTAAGAGATAGTTGTGTTGCTCTTAAGTGCCAGTGAGTCAGTTTTGACTCATAGCAACCCTAAATAGGATTTCCAAGGAGTGGCTGGTAGATTTGAACTGCTGACCTTAAGTCATGAATCCAGACTTTAACCCAACACATTTATCTAGCAACAAGCAGGATTTGTCCAACACACTACTTTATCAGTAAAGATTGTGTCTCATGCAGCTGGTAAAACACACACAGACCCCTATAACCCAGTGGGTTAGCTCTGTCTTGGCAGTGCTGGCATAAACAAGTGATATATTGAGGGAAGAACTGTTGATTATGCAAAAGCATTCAGAAGGAGAAGTGATTTGAAGTAAGTCTTGAGGAATTTATTATTTGGGTGTTTTTGGGTTTTTTTTACAAAGTGAGTTTTCTCTTTATGGAAAATATTATATAAATGAGAATTATAAATGTTGGAAATTCCGAGAGTTAATTTAAATATTTTATTTGTTTGTTTTCCACCCAGGTTTGAGAAAAGAACTTAAGAATGTGGAAGTAGGCTTTACCTCTCATGAGTTCCTCACAGAAGCACATCTGCAAATAAATCCTTTAATAAAAAGGTAATCGTAGATATTTACTATTAGAAATTTTAAAACTCTTTCCCCCCCCCCCAAATGCATATATTACAGAAACTCCTTTTACTTAACAGAAAGGCATAAATACATATCCTGTGGTCCTATAGAATAAGCAGTGCAAGATCAGGGGTTCCAACCCAATAACCGCTCATTGGAAACCCAATATAGGGCCACTATGAGATGGAACCAATTCATCAGCACTTAACAACAGCCACAGTAACTCTGGAAGCCCCTACTCATCTGTCCATTTGGTGGCGTGCATACCAGTAGGGTCGCCATGGTGGACAGGTTTTAGCAGTGCTTCTAGATTGACAGACTAGGAAGAAGGAATAGGCAATCCACTTCTGAAGGATTGATCACTGAAAATGTCATGAAAAGTAGCCAAATAATAATAATAGTTCCAGAAAAAGTCCTTCGGGTTGGAAGGCACTCAAAATACGCCTGGGGAAGAGCTGTCTCTCCTCAAAATAGTGTCTACCTTGATGTGGATGGGGCAAAGCTTTTGGCACCTTCATTTGTTAACGTGGTATTATCAAAA